TGTTCTTTCACTTCCTCTTTCCTCTCTCTCCACGAGCACTATGTCATCTGCAAAAGGCATGTGCCAGGGGCCACTCTCTGGCTGTTTTCTGTCAATGCCTCCAGCACCGACGTGAACAAAAAGGGGCTTAGTCCCAAGCCTTGATGTATTCCAGCTGTTTCTAGAAACTGTTCCCTTTTCGCCACATGAACCTCGCGCTGTGGCAACAGCACCATCGTACATGTCCTGGACACATCTCATATAAAAGCTTTATTCACTCCATGAGGGGTGTCAGGATCCGGCTCCTGCATAAGGCAAACACCAATGTCGGTCGCCCTTCAGCACCTGTAGAACTCACCCTCTGCCCTGGGTCTCTCTGCAGGGAAAGCGGAGCGGCAGAAGCCATTTTTGCTCTTTCTTTAATTCGACCTTAGACATTTTGATGTCCACATTCGGAGATGGGAATGCGACATTATCACTGGAGGTGAGAGGCTCCTTCCCTTGAATGTGCCCTCCAGACTGGTGCCCCTGTGTGTACCCCACAGCCCTGTGTGCTGATGTGCTGGGTTAGGTGTCTCACTGGGGGAAGGGAAGCAGGCATGTAGATACTCTTCAGACAAGATCTGTGCCCTCCTGCTGTGGGGAGTGGGGGTGCACCCTCTAGTGGTGTTTGTCTGTGTCTGCGTGCACATGCCCTGTAGTAGTGTGAGTGCACGTTTGTGTTTGTCCACCCACATGCACCCTCTAGTGTTCAGAACTGTTGCTGTTCATCAGAGGTTCTATATCAGGGGTCGGCAACCTTTCAGAAGTGGTGGGCCGAGTCTTCATTTAATCACTCTAATTTAAGGTTTTGCGTGCCAGTAATACATTTTAATGTTTTTAGAAGGTCTCTTTCTATGTCTATAATATATAACTAAACTATTGTTGTATGTAAAGTAAATAAGGTTTTTAAAATGTTTAAGAAGCTTCATTTAAAATTAAATTAAAATGTAGACCCCCCCGGACCGGTGGCCAGGACCCGGGCAGTGTGAGTGCCACTGAAAATCAGCTTGCGTACCACCTTTGGCATACGTGCCATAGGTTGCCTACCCCTGTTCTATATAATGCTAACCGTTAATGGGGATTCTCCTTCAACTCATCTGTCAGTGACGTGAGTTTTTCAGGCAGCAGGATCTGGGCTCTATCCCTGCCCTGCCAGACATTTCTGAGCCGCTGCCGGATGCAGCATAGAGACAGCCTAGGAAGCCGTGGGCCTGTGACAATGTTGTTCCCTGGCATCTGTAATAGAGGGACAGGGGAGCGGGAGCGAAGAAGGAAGGACAAAGGGTTCTAGCCCCAGTTGGCTTCAGGTCCCATTGGAGCCCCGAGTCAGCCTCAGTGGACCCCCTTTGTAATGGGCTCCCCCTCTGAGAGTATTGCTGCCCCCTGAACTGGGAGAGGCTGTGATGCCTGATGCCCCCTGGGAACACACGGGACGTGGCACCTAAACCCCCGGACTCCTCACTCCCAGGGCTTTTCCTTTCCTGTCCCCAGAACGTGACTCTCCGTTTCAACGCCCTCCTGAACAGCACCTCCTTCTGGGATGGCGGAGACAAGGGTGAGGTTGTGTCGGCTTTAACATTCCTCCTGCAGAGCGTGGAACAGTCTGTATTGGCCACTGCGCTCCAGTCTCCCAAGAACACAACACAGAACATGACGACAGAGTCTATGGGTGAGGGGGGACGTGTGGCTCTCAGCGCCACCTGCTGGCTGCCATGAGATACGAGGTTATACACCGTGCCCCAAATCCACTGGAAGTTAGAGCCTATATACCATTGTGGATGTGAGCCTGTGTTCAGTACAGACACAGACCAGCACTGCCCCTGCCCCAGGAAATATAACCCAGCCCCGCCAGTGCCCCCGGGAGCAACAGCAATGCCCAAGAAGGCTTTAAATGTAATATTTGGCATTCCACCACTAGGGGCTGCCATGCTGAGCCAGGTGCCACCTCCCACCCCGAATACTCCCCCTGCTGGGGACACAGCATCCCCAGGGAGACAGAGCCAGAATCGGGGGAGAGGATACGGGGGGTGATCAATGGAACTCGGGGGGGTGGGAGAGAGGGGCTCCAAACTTCCCCCTCCCACAGTGCGGAAGAGCCCAGAAGCCCCCCAGCTCCAAGTGGAGTGGGAGGGGGGTGGATCTGGCCCAGAATGGACAGATTCCCAGGGAAGTGGTTTCACAGCGAGGGGCTCTGTCATTCCTCTCCCCCACCCCCTGCAGCTGTCCAGACGCGGCTCGTCACAGGGAACTGCAGCCGGGACAGTGAGGTCATCACGCTGAGAGCTCACGAGGAGACGATGGTCGTGCACTGTGATACAGTCACCAGGGCAGCCACACGAGGTACCATCCTGGGGATGGAGACACCCAGGGCCCAAACCACTGCACAGAGCGGTTCCTGGGCACTGAACCCCAGTCTGGGTTCCCCTGTTCCTCCCTCCCTCCCCGTCGATCCCCAGGCCGGGCCCTGGCCTCTGTCTCTAGCCCTGGAGGGCTCCTTGCTGGCTGAGCCAGTGGTTCTCAGGCTGTGGCCATGGAGCTGACACCTTCGTTCCTGCCTGTCCCACAGCTTGAGCCCCGAGCAGTGAGGAGTTGGAGGCAGAGGGGAGACGGCTCATGAGAGGGTCTCTGGTATGAAGTGGGCCCAGAGAATGGAAAGGGCAGGGACGCCCTAGTCTAGCCAGACCCCCAAATGGAGATGTGGGGCCCAGGGTAACATGTACCCTCAGCTGCCATATTCAGGGCCCCTAATCCTCCAGCACTAGGGGAAGCTCATCCCTGGCCAGCCCCTCTCCTGGTCTCGCTGAGAAAATCTGTATCTTCATCTCTGCATCCTGCAGCTCGACGTTTCCAGCCGGACGCGTTCCTGGGGGCTCCGGGGGAGGAGGCAGCACAGTCCAGTGGTTAAACCTTAAGAGTTGTGGCCAGGATCCTGGGTTCCATTCCCAGATCTGCCACACACTCACTGTGACCCCTGGGCCCCCGGCTGGCTCCTTCTTTGCCATAGCGTCCCCAGCTCCCTAACGAGGGATCATCTCCTCTCCCAGCAGGTTTGGGGGCTGCTGCTTTTATTTCCTACTCCTACAACCTGGACTCCATCATCAATGTGACACTTCCCAGCGAGGGAAATCTACCGGCTGGTGGGAAGCTGGGGAAGAGTTATCTCAACTCCAGGGTGGTGAGTGGGGCCATCGGAGACGGGAGACCCATTAACCTCTCCAGACCCGCACACTTCACCCTGCGCCACAGACAGGTGCAAGAAAGATGAGCCTCTTGCTTTGTTCCGTACCTGGGGCTGCAGAGGGGTATATAAAAGGCACGATCTCCTGCCGGACATTTGGACCGTGCTGCCTTTCTGGCTCCCGATGGTCCTGAGAAGCAGAAGCCTCCTTATTACTGACACATTGGGGCTGTGTTACTGGAGGAGGGTACCAGGCATTGCACCACGACACATGGCTGTGCAAAGTTCTCTAGGGCATGGGTGGGCAAACTACAGCCCATGGGCCGCAGGGGGCTGCACCACGCAGCTCAGCCCCGCTCCAGCCGGAGCTCTGGGTCAGAGGACCGAACACGTGGCTTGGCCTTGCTCCGGCCACTGCACTGGGTCGTGGGCCTCACCACATGACTCCTGGAAGCCATGGCATGGCTCTACTCTGGCTCCTACACACTCCAATGGGCCCCTCTGGTGCTCCAATGGGAGCTGCAGGGATGGTGCCTGCAGATGGGGCAGCATGCAGAACTGCCTGGCCGCGCCTCTGCATAGGAGCCGGAGAAGGGACATGCCGCTGCTTCCAGGAACCACTTGAATTAAACGCCGCTTGGCCTCTGCACCCCTCAGGCTCTCCCCACGCCACAACCCCCTGACCCAGCCCTGATCCCCCTCCTGCTCTACAAACCCCTTCATCCCAACCTGGAGCAACCTCCTGCATTCGAAACCTCTCATCCCCAGCTCCAACCCAGAGCCTGCACCCCCCAAAAGAGCCCTCAGCCCCTCCCGCACCCCAACCCCAATTTTGTGAGCATTCATGGCCCGTCATACAATCTCTATTCCCCCATGTGGCCCTCGGGCCAAAAAGTTTGCCTACCCCTGGTCTAGGGTAACAGCTCTGCTTATCTCACCCCTGAGTCGGAATAACTGGAAAGCCACTTTCTGTAGAGACTGTGGTTCAGGAAATCAGCATGAAATACTTTGATACGGTAATGAAGTGGTTAGGTTGCATATGTGTATGTGTGCACACAGCACTGCCCTCTGCTGGATGCAGTTAGAACTGCTCAGCCATGTGCCATGTTCCTTATAGTGCTAATGGTTAGCAAGGATTTATTTCCCTTTCACTCCAATAGCAGGGCCTGTGCTTTTAGACAATCAGGATCTGTGTTCTCTCTCCGCTGCCACCGTGATGGCCCAAGTGGGCATTGGGGGCTGCGTGGGGAGAGCCGAGGAGCTCTAGGTGGCCTCGAGTTTGCTATAGACATGTGATAACAGAAACGACATTCTGTGGTCATGTGAGGATGAGGATGATTCTGTTGTTTCCAGGCCAAAAAAGAGGAGGAAGAGGCTCACTGCGTCTACTGGAAAGTAGAGGCCGAGAGCGGCAGCTGGTCTCCGGACGGCTGCACCGCCGTGAACAGGACCAGCACTCACACCACCTGCAGATGTGACCATCTGTCCAGTTTCTCCATTTTAATGGCTCTCACCACAGTGACGGTATCTCACCGTGAGACTCGGGTCACAGGGTTGGACCCTGAGCTCCGCACTCAGCCGTGGGCAAAGCTCTCCCTGGAGCCACTGGAGGCTTTGCTGGGGAAAGGCTGAGTCGGAGCCGAGGGGGCTGGGCTGGGGTCACTGGTGATTGTCCCTTTACTGTGTTACAGGAGAGTTACCCACTGACCATCATCACCTACGTGGGACTGACCCTCTCCCTGCTGTGCCTCTTCCTCGCCATCCTCACCTTCCTCCTGTGCCGCTCCATCCGCAACGTCAGCACCTCCCTCCACCTGCAGCTCTGCCTCTGCCTCTTCCTGGCCGACCTGCTCTTCCTCATCCCGGTGACACGCACCGGCAGTCCGGTACGGCCTGATTCTCCCCTGCTCTGTTTCTCCAGCAAGTCTGGGGTGTGTGGCTTCAAACCCCTTTGTGCTCCCTGGATTCTCGGCTGTGCAGGACACAGTGGGGGTTCCCAGGGAGATGTTTCCATGTGACAGATTTCTGTTACCAATTTTCTTGAGGTGTCAGGTGATTAGGCTGAGGCCGCAGGATCGTTTGGTGAGGAGATGATGAAATACACCAAGTGTCAGAGTTTTAAAGCTTTATTAATGAAATAATAAAATAACAGCGGAGAGTACTGGGGGAGGGTTCCCCACGTCACTCAGAGGAGGGATGAAAGCATTTGTGCCCCAAGCCCTAACCCAATTTCATACTTACACATGCTTTATCCGAGGCTGGCCAAGCCTGGATGTAAGAGAAGAAGAAGAGGGTGAAGGGTGGACGGGAGTTCTTGTCCTGGGCCCAGGTCGTCCAGGGTCCGCTGTGATTTCCAAATTGCTCCGGCTTTTAGGAGGGTTTTTATGTCCAGGGTTTCTTTGGGGGGGGGGGGTTTTTGTTTGTTTGTGACCTTTGTTCATGGTGCTTTTTGTACCAGTCCAAAACGGCTTTCTGCGGTCTCCTCAACTTTTTTAAAACACACCGGCGGGATTTTGTTTTCCCCCGTGTTGGCCTTCGCTGTCTCGTTTGTTTTGGGCTGCCTCCGCAGGTCTGTTCAGCTGACTTTTTTTTTTTTTTATTTACGGCTGGTTGGGGTGGAGTCCAGGCCCCCCTCTTTCTTGGCAGGCACCCAAGAGTCAGATGTGTGCTGTGGCCTTGAGCTGGCTGGAGTCAGTCTTATTTTTGGGCCTAGCAGGAGCATGGAGTTAACCCGTTTTTTGCTTCCCCCCCCTTTGGCCTTTCGCGACCTGCAAAGGAACTTTCCGTTCCACACTCACACCTTTGACCCTACCCAAAATGCCCTGCGACTCTTGCGACAGCGTTAGCAATATACAATGCTGGTTTGCTTTTTCATGGGGACCTTTTAACGGAGGGGGCCATTGGGGTGTGACAGTCCCTCCCCTTGACTCCGAATCAACATTTTGTTGGGAGGGGTCACCACTTAGGTTTTTGTGTGTGTGTGTTGTTTTTTTTTATACGGTGGCAAGGGTTACTGTTGGTCTTTTACATAAGCAGCAATAAAGCATGCACAAAATTATTAGGACAGCAACAATGGCATACATTAGCCAATAATGACTTCTGGCTTTATTAGTAACATAGCATAACACACACCCCTGTTGATATAGATGCCCCGCACAAATGGTGGTGGCAAAGGCAGCTTTCTCCAGGTTTCAGCGTGAGGAGGAGGCATTTATCTGGAACATGGTTGTTCCCGGGTGTGCATTAATGGGAGGAGAACCGTGGGCCAATGCTCCGAAACATTTTATGCCTGAGTGTAACAGCGAATTAAGGGGCACCCTGGGGTAGGTGGTCCTTCAAACACACACAGACGTATTGGTAAACACATGGGCTTTAGTGGGGGCGTATCCCAATGCCTCCCCTTCCCAGCAGGTGTGTTGACCCACCTTATAAAAGTGGCCTGGCATTGTTTTTTTTTTTTTTACACAGTATTTGAGGGAGCTTTATAGGCCATGGCTGCCAAGTGTTGCCCTCTGCAATCCATATGTGCTGATAGTCTGAAGGTGTAGTCAGCACATACCGCTTAGCCATGTCACTGGGGGGAGCCACCTCCCACACGTCGCGACGAACCCCCTAATCCCAGCTAATATGTGATGCTACATTTCCAGGATGCTAAGCCACAATTGCCTCCCCTCCCCCGCCAATGGGTCATTGACCTTTTTTGTTTGACCGTGGCCAATTTTGAAAAGTGGTAAAAGTCACAAAGGAGGACAAAAGCATCGGACACCCGAGGATTCCCATAGGTCTGTGCCACCCTACATATATTGTATTATACTAACAAATTTTGCAGGCCTGAAGTAGCAAGAGCGGTCCCACCACTTTTGTTTAGAGTGTCCCTGAGCTTTTGCTATTACTGCCTGGTTCTGTTAACAAAGCAAAAGAAAAAAAAGAAAGAACGTTGTAAATGGTTCTATTGGGGAAACTGAGGCACAGAGGATATATTTTGTACATTATTTTTTTTTTGCTTTTGCCCTTTTTGGCTTTTGTTATGGATGTTGCTTGCCTGGTTTAAGAGGTTGCAACAACAATATTGTGTCCAGGGACCAGGGCTGCTATTGCTCACCAAAGAGCCTCCCATTCCACTCCAGGCCACCACATGAGGAACAGGGTCTGCCCCTTTGGAATGTATGTGAGGTCCGGGGCCACCCACCAGGTATTTTGCTGTGGCCCTTTGTGTCTATTCAGACTATGCATTGCCTTCATGGCTCCTCCCCTCCAGCCTTGCGCTACACTGTGGCTTGAACCCCATTGGTGGTTTGAACCATGGAGAGCCTTTGGAGGGATAGCTCAGTGGTTTGAGCATTGGCTTGCTAAACCCAGGGTTGTGAGTTCAATCCTTGAGGGGGCGACTTAGGGATCTGGGGCAAAAAAAATCAGTACTTGGTCCTGCTAGTGAAGGCAGGGGGCTGGACTCAATGACCTTTCAAGGTCCCTTCCAGTTCTAGGAGATAGGATATCTCCATTAAGTTAAAAGTACTTTTCCTCCTTATAATTGCAATTGTTTAGATAATTCCCTGGATAGCTGGAAACTAGCCCCCACCACTCCTGGTCCCTTTCATTTTTGTAATTACCCCACGGGGTGCTCTTCTTGTAGTTGGGGATGCAGTACATACGACCTTTTCCCCCTTTACCCACTAGACCTCTCCTCAGTTTTAATGAGGGCCATTATAGGGGTGCAACAAGGTTCCACCAAAATTGAGGCTCCTCACAAAGGGAGAGCTCAAAGCCAGCCCTCACCTGATTCATTCCCCGTGAGGCTCAATTTTTTTTTTTAGGGCGAGCACACTGCCATTGTGGAATATGTTGAGCACGGATGGTCAAGTCTTTGACAAGTCCAGTGCTTCCTGGCGGGTGCGTTCCGCTTTTTCAACGTGGAAGTCCTGTCTCAAGGCTTGTAACTTGTCCTGGACATAGGCTTGGATTGCAGCCTGCTTAGTAATTTTCGCTTTCAGTTGCTCAATTTCCACCAGCTGTTGGGTACACACCTCTTTCCTTCTCCACAACTCCTTATTTTGTCCCGCCAACATTTGATACCACATGGCTGCCGCAGTCCAAATTAATCCCACAGCTGCCCCTAGGTTTTTACCCTTCTGCTTTTCATACTTGGCATACAGGTCAAACAAATCCTGCCAAGTTTGCACTCTTTTTTTGAAGCTCCGCTACGGAACCCCAGGGATTATATCCCACCTTGGTGAGAGCCCTCACCAAGAGCCCTCTCCAACCGGGAGAGGTCCTCACCCCCCTTTGAAAGAGGCAGCAGGGTTCCATGCCTCTTTGCTGCTTCCCCCATGGCTCGGGCATCAGGTCCACCAGCCTCCCGTGACACCAGCGGGCTGGGCAGCCGGACTTCCCTGTCCATGCTCCCTAATGCCCATGCATCCAGGCTTGAACCCATCATTGATGTCATCACCCTCGACTGCGGGACTCCCGAGTCCACAGTTGTACCCTTCTGTTTCCTAAACATGTTGTCACGATCCCTTAGTACACCTCTTAAGATCTTTTAATTATGTGAGATATCACATTGCCCATGCCGGCACCGGGGATTACTATGTTTACCCCCTTCCCCGGTCCGGAGGGAGAGATGCTAAGCCTCTTTCCATATTACTCGGTCCAATATTACCGAGGGCCCATACACCAAATGCACGCCCTGGGCTGAGCAAGAAACCATAAGTTCTCCTCTTATACTTAGGCATACAATGGCTGAGGGTGTATGAACCAAGGATTTTCTCTTTTCCTTGAAGTGAGGATCTCTAAGACCTCCTCCTATTACTCGGTACAGCTACGACCAAGGGTAGACCCACCTGCACCCTTCCCCCGCTGACCAGGGTGGAGATAGAAATGCTAAATCCCTCTCCGGTGCTCAGCCATGCTACGACTGAGGATGGGGCACACCTGTAATCATCAAAGTCTCAACATGAAATACCAACAGTGCTGGGCATACCAAACATGAAATACCAAGGGCAGAACACTTGGTGCGCTCCACAGGGCCTTCCCCCTTCGCAATTCTCCACCAAAACTCTGACAGGTTTCTGTTACCAATCTGCCTGAGGCGTCAGGTGATCAGGCTGAGGCCACAGGATCATTTGGGGGAGATGACGAAATACGCCAGGTGTCTAAGTTTTAAAGCTTTATTAATAAAATAACAGTGGAGAGTGCTGGGGGGGGGGTCCCCATATCACTCAGAGGAAGGAAGAAAGCGTGAGTGCCCCAAGCCCTAACCCATTTTCATACTCACACACACCCGATCTGAGGCTGGCCAAGCCTGGGTGTAACGTAAGAAGAGGGGGAGGGGTAGATGGGAGTTCTTGTCCTGGGCCCAGGTTGTCCGGGGTCTGCTGTGATCTTCAAATTGATCCGGCTCTCAGGATAGTTTTTAAGTCCAGGGTTCCTTTGGGGGTGTTTTGTTCCATGACCTTTGTTCCTGGTGCGCTTTGTACCAGTCCAAACCGGCTTTCTGTGGTCTCCTCAACTTTTCCAAAACACACCGGCTCCAGAAACACTGGCAGGACTTTGTTTTCCCCCCATGTTGGCCTTCACTGTCTTGTTTGTTTTGGGCTACCTCTACAGGTCTGTTCAGCTGAATCCTCCTTGATCACGGCTGCAGTGGAATCCAGGCCCCCCTCTTTCTTGGCAGGCAGCGAGAGTCAGATGTGTGCTGTGAACTTAAGCTGGCTGGAGTCTTCGGGCCTAGCGGGAGCCTGGAGTTAACCCTTTCCTTGCTCTCTTTCTTCTTCCCCCTTTGACCTCTCACGACCTGCAAAGGAATCTTCCATTCCACACTCACATCTTTGACCCTTCCCAAAATGCCCTGCGATGCTTGCAACAGCATTAGCAATACATAAGGCTGATCTGCCTTTCCCAGGGGACCCCTTGAGGGAGGGGGCCATTGGCGTGTGACATCCACCCCGTTAGGCGCCTTCACACTGGGCACAGTGGTCTGAGTGTCCCCAACCACTGGAGTTTCACCATATGTCACAGTGTCCCTTTGCCTTGATTTCTCTCCTACGTGACTTGCCCATGGTCACCCAGGGACTTTGGTAAGGCTGGGAACAGAACCTGGATCCCCTGAGCCCTGCTTCCCTGCTCTAACCACCAATCTCTGCTCCCTTCCTGCATCAGCAATGTGCACCCGCAGCACCCTCCATAGACCGAGGAACCTGCTGTCTCTGGGTCACAGAG